TCGCCAAGCCAGAGGGTTCCTGCACAGAACATTGCCTATTACAGACTTGGCAGGAAAGAGGTGAAGAAGTTTCCAGGGGCTGTTTTAATTAATTAACAGCAGAACAGAAGCAAAAATCATTTCCTGTGAGTGAACAGACCCTCCAAAGGTTATTTGGCGATGCAACTTGGAGTTTCGGTTTTACATCAGCGCGCTTGGGTCAAGGATTTTGAATCCTGATTGTTTTTCTAAACTCTTTCTTACTCACATTAGGTCCTTATGCTTTGATAGTTTCCCTCCACACTTCCTTATCGCCCCCTCAACACACACTCCCTTGAGGACACTCAGCTGGTGTCTTCTGCAAATTTCAGGCCAAGCTAAACTATATTAAATTGTGCGCCTAGGATTTGACGTAGGTGCCTCACGATTTGGGCAGAGTTTGCTATTTCTGAGACTTCAAGTATACAAATGTCTGTTGCTATATAAAAATCCAACACTTTAAGGGTTTACACCACAACAGAATATACTTTTTAATATTAAAAATCACCCTTTTGCTCACCTTGAAAAGTACTCCAAAATGTCTTGATTCTTTCTCCCCAAGCACAAAGCTACGATTGTTTCTGAGCCCTGACCTTCCATGTCACCCTTATCCCTGTATGGAATTCATACCTAAAATAGGTTAGAGAAGGGATCCCTTTACTGCCAAGGTCATGTCAGGTGTCTGGATGGCCCCTGGCATGTAGTAAATGCTCAGAAATTGTTACTCCAAAAGAGTTATTATTATGGCAGTAAATGACAATACATCTTTCTAGAACTTACTGTAAATTAAGAAGTCTAATATTCAAAATCGAACTGATGTTTAGCAGCCTCAGAGGTGATGACCTTGGCAGTAAAAGGAAGGTTCAAGAACTGTATAAGATGGATGTTCTTTTTATTATCCCCAATTTAAAATCTTGAGACAACGAGGAGTTAAACCCGTGAACATCAGTTTTTTTGAGCCAACCCAAATACATGGTGCGGTGGCAGTCCCTCCTTGCCTGGCCTCTGTCCCTCCAGGCAATGGGAGAAAGCTGATCTCTCCATTATATGAGGGCAAAGGATCAATGTTTAAAATATAACAAAACAGCTCCATCACCTTGACCTTCTCTACTTTAGGAATATGTAAAGTGAGCCTCTCCCTAACTAGTTCTGGACCAACTTTCAGGGACTCACTAGAACCCAAACACTAATCCAGCAAGTCCCCCTGAAGCTTAAACTACTGAGTCAAGATATGGCTAATTCCCCAATATGGGAATGGAGAAAGATGTCAAAGACTCTCTTGTCACCTTTGCCCCTGAGCTTTTTGTTGGCTTAGCTTCCATTTTTCCTCTTACTTACAAAGGTCTTCCATTGCTGGATGCTGTGATAAATCCTCTAGATATATTGTCACATTTAACTCAGGAGCCAATGCCACTTGCATCCCTATTTAAAGAACAGGGAAACTGAGGCTCAGAAATATTCAGAAACTTCACAAAACACCCCCAAAATAATTGGAAGAGGCAGGGCTTATGCCCAGATCTACCCGCCTCTAAATCACACCCATGTAATCACAATTCTGTACCCACCCAACTTCCCCACCCCTTTACTCCCCCACCCCCCAGCACAGACACCTGCTCCATGTTCTCCTCGGATTGTGACTTTGGGCTAAACACCACCCTCAAGGAGCGCAACTGTGTAGTGAGTTCTGAAGGTAATACTCTAACTGCTGCTTTTCTAGAACTAGTCTTTAAGGGAAAATCCTTTTCGATTATGGAGCAGCCATTGTCAGCACCCAGAATGCAGTGTGGTTGCCAGATCAGGCTAATTGAGGTGGAAGAGGTGAGTGGAGAAGAGCACCTTTGCAGCTTTGCCTGTTAGCTGGGCAGTTGATACCCAGGAGAAAACAGGAAGACTGATCGCTGCCACTTTCAATACCATGGAAAATCTGTGCTGTCAGTGCAGGAGGAGAGTGGTAACACACCATGTAAAAGACTCCGCTGGCCTGTGAAAGCGTTTGAGAACCTATGAAGTCACAACTCTAGAATCATCTCCTACTCTGTTCCCAGATGCTCCCTTCAAGAATTTGGGCAAACAAGCCCACGAGTGATAGTAGCCAACTCTGCTTGGGAAGCTTTTCCCAGCAGAAAGCGTGGCCGATCCTTCCATTCTTTCATGGCCCTTTTATTATCATCTCTCACTGGCATCCAGCCAAGCTTTGCAAAGATCCTTGTAACCACAAAGCCAGTGATTAGCTGGTTTCTATCAAATATTTTGTCTGCCAGGATTCATGACTTGGGGGCCTTACTTGGATTGGGTTATTTCAGGCTTTATTTCCATGGACTTATTTGTTCCCTCTTCTGAATGCTTTATTCTTATTTTATAGATCATTTTTAAATAGCAATTATTGATCATCTCCATTTAATAGTGCTGCAGACACTTTTAAGTTCAAATGATGACCCTGAAGCCACAGAATGGTTTTAATTTGTACAAGCATTATCTCCTATAAAGTCTCAGAACCTCCTCTTTCCCCTGCTGGGCCTTCCAGTGGATGGTATAAGGGTGTCTAGGAGTTGTCTTCCACAAGAGCCCCCACCTTCAGGCCGAAAGCTGCAGAAGACTAGAAACCATCCTTCGTTGTCTATACAGTTACCAAATAAGGCTAGATTGGGCAGCCAGGAAAGTATCTTGCATCCATGCTGCCTGAACAACCTCTAGGCCATCACAACCCCCTTCCACCACCACCCCCCATCACCATCCTGCCCTCCTCTTCCTTCTTTGGAGTTCTTTATCTCTCCTTTTCCTTCTCTTTCTTGTTCCCTTTTTCCTCTTCTTTCTGCTGGTCCCCAGTCTCTTCTTTTTCCTTTTTCTTCCCAGAGTTTGTTTGGGAGTATAAATAGAAATAGTCAGGTTCAAAGGACCTTCATGGTGAACCTAATACTGACTCTCAGCATCTTTCAAAAGTGAACAGCAGGGGGCCTCCCCGGTGGCGCAGCGGTTGAGCACTGGGTTGCGAAGCTGCCCACAGCCTCTGCAGCGCCGGTTCGATCCCTGGCTGCTCCCCAGCCACCGGAGGAGGGTCCCACATGGCACGCAGACCTCTTCTGCCACCCATTGCTCCCCTCAGCAGTGTACTTCGTCCGTCTGCCTGCTCTGCTCCCCGCTCTGGCTCTGGAGAATTCACTCACCCTCCAAAAAAAAGAAACTTCTATGCTAAGAACTAAAATCCTCTCCACCCCAAACTTTAAAAAAAAAAAAAAAGTGAACAGCAGGACTGCCCTGGCCGCCTAGGAGTTAAGTCTCGGCATTATCACCATCACAGCCTGTGTTCTATCCCAGCCAGGGAGCTACCCACATGGTACAGCAGACCTCTCCTGTCTTGCCCACTGCTCCCTCAGCAGTGTATTCCAATAGATCTATCTGTTCTGCTCCCTACTCTGTCTCTGGTGAGTCCTCTCACCCCTGCATGTCTGGACTACACCCCAGTTCTACTATGCAAAGAATTTTTTTAATTTTTTTAAAAGGGTGGACACCATGCCCGTCAATTCATCCTTCTTTGTCATTCCCTATGATGCCCAAGCCACATGCTGACCTACTTTATTCGGTGTTTCCCTTTCTACCTCCTTTGAGAGTGTGGCCTGTGCTGTACAACGATGACCTGGGAGGAACTGACACCTAAAGGCACTTGTGTGGTAGCAAAGTGTCTAGGTTTATGACTGCTGGAACTTGTGAGCAGAAAGGGCTCTGTCCTGTGTCACCTTAACTATTGGAATCAACTGATCCCACTCTAGCTTACAGTTTCTGTCATCCCCACCTGTCACACAAGTCACCACGATGACCACACCTCCGTGATTTCCACCCACAAGGAGCAGATGGAGAGGGGACCCCAACCTGCCATGACCCATCCTAGGGAAGAAAGACTCTCCAAGAGAAGCATTTCGAAGGTTGATTTTGGTTTAGCTTTGGTCTACCTAGAAAAGTAGGATGAGATTCCCCCATTAATACAATGCTAGAGAATCTGGCCAAGAGCAAATGCCCAGTGGGACCCTATAGGACTGGCAATATTTTGAGGGACTCATCACCTCTGAACCCAAACGATAATCAGTCAGTTAAAAATGTGACTCCTTTGTGCCTTGAAAGCACCACTGGGGAGCAAACAAGGATTTAAAAAGAAGAAAATTGTGCTGTGTTTACTAATCTCCACACTTGTGCATGTTTTTTTTTTTCTGTGCTCGTTGCATGCATTTACACATTAATTATGTCAATAATGGAGAAGAACTGGAGCATTATACTTATGGTATAGCTGTTTTAAAATGATGCATTTGCAAATGGCATTTTTTTCCAACACCTTTCCCTTAGCGTCTCATCACTGACCGACATTATCTGCTGTGCTGTTGATCATCCTTTGCCCTAAATACCCAAATGGAATCAGTTGTCTCCTTTCTGCTTTCATTGCAGCTGACTCAGCTGATTCGGAAAGATGTGCTGCATGCTCCGGACTCATTTAGAAACTGCAGTGTTAATTAAGATAAATGTTTGAAAACCAAAGTCAAATCACAGGACCCCTGGGCTAGACTTTCCATTGTCAAAAGCCAATTCTCAGATAAGCGTCTAATCTGGAGAAATGGCTGCGCCAACAGAGCAGCCGGTTCCTTGGATCTGTTCTGGATCTCAACAGTAGGGGCAGCTTCAGGGATGATTGGTGCTTTTGTTTATTTTGTAAACAACTGGGAGGGAGGAAGAGGTCCAAGTCAAACCTTTCGTCTGTGGTCCAGCACCTTGAGATTTGCAAATAGAGAATTGGTCTGAAGAGTCCACAAAGGTAAGAAAGAGCCCTATGTGCAAGGCATAGAGCGTGTGGGTGGGACAGAAGTGCTCACCGCCACAGTGCAGCGTAACCAAGGCAGCCACATGCCTGCGTGGCCAGTGCATCACCATTTGCCACCAGCCTCTCTCTTTATCTTCCGTCTCATTCTCTCTCCTTTCCACCACTTTCTCTGCTTCAGGAAGGTTCAGAGAAAAGGCTTCGATTCTCCATAAGATCGCCAAGAAGAAATGCCAGGTGGATGAGAACGAGAGGCAGAATGGGGCTGCCAATCACGTGGGTGAGTGTAAGGAGACTCCATCCCAGCCTTCCTGCAGGGCACAGGGGAGCAAAGGGACAGGACCCCCCGTGGACACCTCTGACCCAGTGCAGATGCAGAAGCCTGGCACCAGGCTGGGTGTCAGGGAGAATCCCACTACCCCCGTTGGGGACAGGGCAGGAATGGACATAGCATGCCACCTAGTCTAGGGAAATTCCAAGAGGAGTAAATTGATTCTATGAGATGCCATATACAAGACATAAGGAAAGTTTAAAAATAAATGTTTAAAAATAAAACCAACTCCTAACCAGGTATCTCCATTGAGGTGTAGAAAACCAAGTCATTACATAAAGAGAACGCGTGCATGTGCGCGCGCACACAACACCTGTCATTTAATATTGAACAACAAGGGAGAGAACCCCCTTCTGAAGTTCTTGCCTGCCCACCAGATTTGACACCTTTAACACTGCCTACAGCACAGCAACTAAATTATCATGTGGTTTACTTTCTCACTCCTAAACTGAGGGGCAGGTCCCTGGAGATAACACCGCCTCTCCTTTCTTAAGAATTCAGCAAATCCCAGACAGGTCTTTTTTGGTTAACTCTTTCTGAGCTCCAGTGTGACCAAAGAGTGACATTCAGGCATCTTATTTTAACTTGGAACACGATGTTCTTCCTCTCCTGTCTGTAACTGTAATATAGCTCTGTAATTCTAAATTCAAGCTAAATTTAACCTAATCTGGATCTCTGCTATAAACGATTCTATTGCCCAAAAAGCTAAAATTATCTGCTGACAAAATTCAGCAGTGTTACATTCAAAATACATGACACTCCTTAGAAAAGTTTCTGCCTCTCCCGTTATCCTGACTTTTAACTCAGGGAAAAATCTTTGGCCAAGAAACAGTCAAGACTCTATGAGGTATGAAAAGAAATACTGGAAGGCAATAAGCTAAATGTGAACATTAGTTACTTCTTAAATTGGGAACTTAAATTATATATTCCCCTCTAATTCTTTAGGCTTCTATGAACTTGGGCAACTTTGTAGAATGAGCATATTTTGCTTTTCTATCATAAAAATGCAAAGACACACCACAGTAGTCTACTGTTTGCTTATGATATTTAAGTTCAATTGCACGACCTCTTTTTTTACTTCGAGAGACATTGATAATGTCTCTCCTATGGAATGGATGAGTCAGCTTGGAGTAAAAGACTTAGATGCCTGGGTCCAGTCCCAGCCTCCTCCTATGACTGGATGACCTTAGACATGGATCTAATCTTCCAGGAGGAAAGAGGACACTTAAGTCCAAGGATCCACATGGCACTGACTGGGTCCCCAGATAAATCTGTAACTGAAAACTAATGTGTTCCTCTTCCTTGGCCCAACACCTTAGAATGTTCTTTTTAGTATGGCTCTTATACCCATTGACTCCATGTGCTTTCTTTGTGTGTGTCTGTCTGTGTGTGTGTCTGAATTATGTCACAGAAAAAATCGAGCTCCCAAATAGCACCAGCACAGAAGTTGAAATGACAACACCCAGTGATGCTTCGGAACCGGTACAAAATGGAAATCTCTCCCATAACGTTGAAGCTGCGGAAGCACAGGTATGGCTTTGCTGCCCTTGCTCTACTCGGCTACTGTTCTTACTAATAGCTCCATTCTCTGCAGAGGTCCTGTTTCCAGCTGGGTGGGCAGCAGGCAGAGTCTTATTAGTCCTCGTGTGCATTTCCCAGTTCCAGCCCAGGGCCCCACATACATCGGCAGTACCGTTACTGAATGAATACACGTTTTGTAAGCCATTATTTCTCAGGAAGAGGTGGGAGGACTCATGCATCAACTATTCTGGGCATAAAAGTGCAGATCTCTGAGAAGCAGCACCCAGAAATCAATTAAATTTTTAGTTTGCTTCCCAGGTGATTCTTAATGCATAATAATGGTTGGTAGCTGCTGTAGTCTAATTCTTTTTCTGTGTCTTTACGGTCAAGGTTAAATAATAGAGAAACCACAGCCATCACACATCAGTGAGCCTCTTTGGCCTTCCCTGTGCCTGCAGTTGAAACTCATCCATGCTTTCTGGCACAATCCACTCATTGTTCAATGGTGCAACCAATAGGTAGCTGTTTGATCTAGTAGTTATAGTGCTTAACATTTCCATGAACTAGGTGCCACAGATTTAAGGTAGGTGTGTATATATGTATCACCTTCCCACCTCACAGTATTGGGATTTAGTATCTCCATTTTATAGTTGAAGAAGCTGAAACTTAGAAAGATGACATCAGCAATCAAAATTATCTTGTTTGTAGGTAGTGGAGCTGAAATTTGATCTCATGGCTATCTAGAAACAGTATCTATACTATTTGTACCGTGCAACTCTGCCTCTAGCCCAAAAAAGGCAGAACCAAAAATTAGGTGGTGCTTGTTAGATTTCTGACTCTCATCCTAATCAAATATATTAGAATTTCTAAGAGTCCCAAATGTTCACTAGAACTAGAGAGCCTAGGTCAGTGTCTTTCAAAGTTTCGTGTGCTTATGAATTTCCTGAAATTGAATATTCAGGTTCTGATTTGTTGGATTTGCAGTGGAGCTCAGAGGCGGACATTCTAACTAGCTCTCTAGTAAGACTCTGCTGCTGTTGGATCACACTTTGAGTAGCACTACTCTAAAGTTGGTGACCCCTTCTCTAGACAAAATTTTCCTAGGGAGCTGAGAAGGTACAGCGTGCCCACGAATAGAGACCAGACTTCAGCCAATCAATACCAGCGTTCTCTTCTCTTTTCTTTTGCACCAGGATATACGCCACAAGAATCTGCTCTTCTTAAAAAATAACATGCTGATTATTACCTGTGAGCACCTTTTCATATTCCTGTTGGCCATGTGTATGTCTTCTTTGGAGAAAAATCTATTTAGGTTCTTTACCTATTTTTTAATTGTTATTTGTATGTTTAACTATTGATCTGCATGGGTTCCTTGTATATTTTAAATACAGTGCCCTATCCGATAACCCCTAAAATATTGACATTCTTTCACCCTTTCCGTAGGTTTCTGTTTCATTTTGTTCATTGTTTCCTTTGCTGTGTTTTTTTATAAGGTGTATATATCTCAAATTATCATACCGCACACCTTAAATATATATTTATTTGTCAAATATGCCTCAATAAAGCTAGAAAATATAACTAGAGGAAAGGATAAAGAAACAGTAGCTCCTTCTGCCCTTGTCTCCTTTGCCTTCTAGAATGCCGCCCTCCTGTCCAGAGCCCCGTGGTCCCTTCACATTAACTCAGGGTGAGCTGGCAGAGCAGCTTATGTCCACATGGATAAGCAGCATGTGGCAGCAGCAGGCAGGCCCCAAGGACATCTGGCTGCCCTTGGGGATGGCACAGTCACAGGTGTGCAGAGGGCAGCCTAGTCATCGTGCCTGTCCATCTGGCTGGCATAGGGACATCTGTGCCCCCTGCAAGGGAGCACCTTGCTGCAGGGAAGTGAGTCCCACCTGACCCCTCTCTGGGCAGAGCTGTGCCCCCAGGTCTCATGCAGAGAAACAAGACATATTTTTGTACCACCCTGTAATACTGAGAGCTCAAGGACAAATAGACCTCCAAAGAACCACCCTACCCTCTGGCGACAGGACAGACAGGTGATAAATTCTAGATCCACCAGGGGTAAGTTACCTCACCTCACTCTATTTCCTCATCTATAAAGTACAGATAATAATAGTACCTACCTCATGAGGGTTATTAGAAGCATTACATGAGATAATATACATAAATCACTTAGCACAGAGCTAAATGCTAGCTGTTTCTATTATTATGTGTCCATACTTGCCATTTAAACACTTTTCAAGATGTCCCTTCCTTGAAGGAACTCAGTGTAGGTAAAATGAAAATGAAATATATATGTTTGGGGTGCTCAAGGTATGAAAGTAAATAAATCAATAAATATTTGTGGTAAGTGCATAAGTATAACCCACTGTGTTCATGGTTGGTTGTACAAGGTACTCTGGAAGCGTGCTAGAGGAGAAATTGATCCTAGCTAGGAAAAATATAAAAGTTTCAAAGAAGAGATGATATTTGAGCTGGGTTTTGTTGGATGAATAGGAGTCTGCCACTCAAAGAAGAAAGAAATGATTCTAGTGACAATTTTTGCAAAGTATAAAATCTTAAGAATGACTGGAGAGAAACCAGTGGAATTGGGGACTAAAATAGAAAGTGAGGCTTGAGAAGAATCCACTAGAAAAGGTAAATTGGGCTCAATTCTTGAACTGTTCAATCAGATCATCTTTAACATTCATCTGATATGTGGCAGGCAATGTACTGAGCCCTGAAGGTATTCAGACATTCTAGCAGAGCAGAGAGACTACAAATACAAACCCAGCTCTAATTATAGACACCTAAGGGTCATGAAGAATATTAAGCATGGTTACTTGATGGAGGGCAAGTCCTTTAGGATGGAGATGAGGGGAAGGCATTTGAATGAGACTGAACTCTCAGAAGGAGCTAGCACCCTCGAAGGCAGAGATGAACTTAACCTGTCTGAGGAATAGAAACATCAGTGTGGCTGGAAGTGACAGAGCAGAGCCATCCACCTTATAAATGAGGATAAGGAAGCAGACTTCCTTCTAGGCAGCCACAAGCCATTGGAGCTTTCCAGATATGATTTACAGTGGTAAATATTCCTGGGGCTGCCATATAGAAACTGGATTTGGGACAAACAGTTGTATAGCAATAGTGAGACAAAGAGGTCACTGCATGAGTTGAAACAAAAAGCTGATGGTGGCATGGAACCAGGGCAGTAGCCATGGAGGCAAGGAATACATGGATCAGGAGGGCATTGTGGGCTCCCCCAAGCAGGGATGGCACGAACCCCCAAGCAGTCCAGACTTCACCCTTTTCTGAGAAAGTGGAGGAAGAATCAGGTTTCAGGTTTGTATTACAGGAAGACATACCTTTCAGTACGGTCAGCAAGACGCCAGAGTTAAAGACAATTAGAATTGTGGCAAAATAAGAGTCTATTAGTTCAAGGATCAGGAAATTATGGTCAGTGACCAAATCTGGCCTCAGCCTGGTTTTTGTTCAACCTATGAGACAAGAATGTTTTACATTTTTAAAGAATTTTTGTGGTTTTTTTTTTTTTTTTGAAGAAGCAGTAGCATATGTGACAGAGACCATATGGACCATAGAGCCTAAAATATTTACTATCTGTCCCTTTACAGGAAAAGTTTGCCCACCCCTGGTTTAGACCATCTGCAGTCTTTAAAAATAAAAGAAAAAAAAAAGGAATGAAAAAGCTTTTCATGTACTAATAAGGAATGATCTTCAAGATATGTTGTTAGTGAAAATGGCAACATGTCAAGTTATATCCAGCATACCATACCATATGGGGGGTCGGGGGCGGGGGTGCCTAACATATAAGCATTTGCTTGCGATGCTTTTGAATAAAATGGACATGCTGATTACCTCCCTAACAGGAGCCTGGAGATGGAGAACTGAGGTGGGAGAGAAGCTTTCAGTATGTCACCTTCTGTGGCTTTTGAACTTTGAGCCAGTTACTAATTTGAAAAAAATGCAACAATAAAAATAATAATGGGTTAAATTAAAAATGAACCAGTATGCTCTGACCATTTAAGAACACATTTCTGGAGACAAGCTCCATGAGTTCAAATCCCAGATCTGCCACTTACCAGCTGTGTGACTTTGGAGAAATTATTTAACCTCTCTGTTCTTTGTTTTCTGTGAAACAAGGATAATAGCAGTACCTATTTCATAGCATTGTTGTGAGATAGAGTACACTTAGGGCAGTCCTTGGCACATAGTGAGTACTAATAAGTGTTTGCTATTAGTAGTGGTACTTAGTAAAACTTAAATGGCTAAGTAATTCAGAAGACAAGCCTTAGACCAAATATTGACTGTGGCATGGCAAGCAATGGCTGCACTGGAGAGTTGTTTCTGAGGCAGAATTGAATAGATTTGATAATAGATTGTTTGATAATAAACAGTGAACAAATAGAAGTAAGTTGTAGATGAGGCTGAGGTTGGAAAGGCTGGGCGAGATAAATCAGGGCTATGACTCCAGAGTCAGAAAAAAAAAAGGTGGAATTGGAATGCTCGCGCCACCCAAAGCACACCTTCTCAGAAATGATTCGATGCTGTTTTATTGTGCTAGTTTTCTTTCTTTCTCAGTTGTATTTTTATCAAGCCACAAGAAGAATGAGGTGTGCATCCCAACGTTATTAATGGAAATGATGGGCCCCGTACACCACACATTCATTGCTGGTATTCTCCGGAGAATTTAGCTCATCTCTTGTAATTAACCTGCTGTTGTAAAAACCCTGTTTACAAGTGAACTAATTTTGCATTGACACCTCATCTCTGAGAGTTTACCACTGGCAATGAAGAGTGTTTTAAAATATTCCCTTTCACAGAGGAAGCCCCTTTGCAGGAGGTTTTTTGCTTCATTTGTATTTTCTGTGGAAGCAAGAAATAATTTGAGTTTTGAAATGGCTTAGTGCTAATTATCCCCTCCCAATGACTGCTGATACATGCTGTTGACGCTAATACAGAAAGGACTGATTTGAGCTACCACTGAGAATTTACCAATCTTCCCAAAT